AGAGAAATGTTTAGATTAAAAGATATCACGATTTTCCGACGCCAGGACGTGATATCTTTCAAAATCGATAAAAAGCGAAATTACTCTGAAATGGTTGAGAATCGGACCATGGACAATATGAACTTTTTTGTTCATTTTAGGGTGAAGAATCTACTGGAGAAGTTTGTAGCACGAGTAGCAATTCACCCTGTATATATATATTTCACGTAGTAGTATTACATTAATTGATTAGGTGGAAAGTCTTAATTCCGTTTTTAAGATATAAAAATGAGTATTAATTTTTTTTTATTTAGTTGATAAAGTTTTTTATTATTTTATCAGAAAGCAACACATATTATAAAATGATCAATTTAGTTGATAGGTTAAAAAATAATACACTCAAGGAAAGAAAAACTCGTATTTTGTTGTTCGTTTCAAACTACAACTCAAAGTACTCAGTAATAGATTAAATTAAACTAATAATTTATTCTACCAATAAATGATTTTACAGTGATTTGGTGAATTTTCATTCGAATCATCATGTTTAAATTTTTTAAATGAAGACTCATGAATTTCAGATCTCGTGTAATTTAATTTAGATACAAATAAGTATTTTGTAATTAATGTATCAAAATACTGATAGTTTGAAAGAGATACATAAGCGTACGTTAATAGATTGGTAAACAAACATACGTATACGATAATGTATGTATGTATTCTGATGTACCTGCGTCAATTCTCAAGGCCACTTTCACCTGCATTTTTTATCTTGAAGTAATTCATTAACTAAATAATTAAAATTCAATTAATTTAGTTATTTACTTTTTTTGTATAAAAGATTTACACTCATACCCACGTATAGAACACACTCGTCTACATTCTTCTAATGTACAACAAACAAAAATATTTCGTTAAAAACTCGGTAATTTCGATTTAACCACGAATCTTGAATTTATTATTAAACAATTAAACATTACATCAATTATAGTAGCATTATATCTCGCTGAAATTCTTAATAACTAACTGGTGAAACAATATTTTCATCTATTTCTATCCATAGGTGTCACTCTTTTTTTCTTTCTACCTTACTCCCTCCCCCTTTCACACACCCTCTCTCATGCCCTCTCTCACTCGCTCTCTCTCTGTCCCTCTGCTCCTCTCTCTCGATATATATCTATCGATATCTATCTATGTCTATAAATGTCTGTCAGAAACCGAATGTTTGGAACAATGACGTTTAATCAGGTGGTGAAAATAAATTGGATATTTTCTTTTGCTTAACGATTAACCGTTCTTCCTCTCTCACTCACCCTCTCTCTCTCGCCCCTCGGTAGTTTTCCAAATTTTAAAAAACCTTTCGCTTGATATTCAAATTGTTCCAAAAACAATTAAATAATATTTATTTTGCATGTTATGGAAATTTGGTATTGGAGAAAATGTGTTATTACAGTAATATCTTACTTCTTTTGATTTGAGCTTTTGAACCAGCTGTGTCGCGCTCATCTTGAGTAGGTGAGACTTGATCGGCGGAAGGAGTTTCTTCTTCCTGAAAGGGGCGTAAAAGAAAACTACGCATGTGACCATTCTCAAAGCTAACAAAAAGTATTTGATGATGTTGTTCATCAACACGCCGACTGTTTTGAAGACGGATGCCTGAAACAAAAACATTCACAGTAGATGCGAAAAAGTCCACAAAAATCTCGAGTGTCCGTCGGCGAACAGACCTTCGGCTCCCACATGACTTTCGTCTCCGTCGTCGGCCCCTCCGCCATTGGGAAAGCTAATTTCTCGAAACCACAGGAACAAAGTTTTTCAACCAGATGTTTTCAGACAGAAGTCTCGCGCGAAAGTGATTCCTAGTTTCCTACTCCACGGCGTTGGGCGGACCCATCCATCGGCTGGTGGGGGAGGAGAACGCTTTCGATACGGGATTACGCTACGAACCGGCCTCTTCTGCATGCTAGGGACGAGAGATGATCTCTCGTTTTGCCCTTTTTTATCTAATCTGGCCGACTGCAACTTCAACATTGGATAAACATTAATCCGATCGTAACTACTCCACTGCAAGGACTTTTCCCGTTAACCTCCGAAAATGAAAACCCGCCTAGCTCTTATTCACACGGATTCCCTATTGGTTTATGAATGATCCCAGTGATAAGAAATATAGCTTACAGGATTACTAGCAGAACTGTCGTTCAAAATTAGGATTAATTAATTTACGAATACGAAAATTGTTCAAAATTAATTATATTCAATGTTACATAAGAGAGTTTTTAATTTGTTTTAAGTTTTTTGGAAGTTCTCCTTCTATAAAGGATCAAATATAGATTAATAAACGAAATACATGAGCAATAAAAAAGCAAATACATATTTGATGGTAATAATTATTAAATTATAATAACATGTTTATAAATTGATACTTATATTAATGTAATTTTTTCATTAATTTCAAAAAATGATTAACAAACGTTACTCCTTTACAATTGTAGTAATGGCAATATCATATTGATAAAAATCACATACTACGTGAACAGCACAAAATATTTATTAAAACAATCAAACAAATTGCGTTTTTTTTTAAGTAATCGGTTAAATTATAACGCGTAGTTTCAAGTGGATACATATATTGAATTATTATCTTGTCGTATAGTTTGTACTATACTTAACAATAATAAAAAATCTGTTATAAAAATAATTTGTACTAATGTAATTTGGCCGTTTCCGATCATTTTGGACTTCTCACTGTGTTCAACGGGCACAGAGACAGACAAGTATAGCGAGAACAGACTGGCCAAATTACAGGATCGTCAGACCCAATGAGGAAAACAGTCTATAGAAATGTGTGTGTATGTGTGTGTGTGTGTGTGTGTGCGTGTGTGTGTGTGTGTGTGTGGGCCCGCGTCCGTATGTATATATGTGCGCTTTGTTATTTTATACATTGGAGAAATATTACTTGATATAGTGGTTTAAAAATTAATTGTACAATCCTACATTTTCCTTAAAGATTGTTAATGTAATAGGAGACAAGCATAGTTAAGACAGGATTTTATTTTTATACGAATGATCGTTTGGTTGGTAATTGTATTGTAAAACAATCATTTCTTAGAAGCTGTAGTATACTATTTCACTCAATATGTTTACTAGTAGACAATTGGAAAAAACGTATAAATCAAATATAGAGGTGGACAAGATATTTGTGGCAGTGGAGATTGTATCATGTACACATACCTAGATAGAATAAACACGTACATAGTATCATGTACACATACCTAGATAGAATAAACACGTACATAGGAAAAGGGAAGTGAGGGAAAGACGAGAGGAGTAGAACATGAAGGGAAAAAGCATACATAAAATATAGAATTTATAAAAAATAATATTTAGTGTATGGTGATTAGTGACCGTTAATCAATAATTATTCTGAAATCGTGAGATGCTGTCTGGTGTGATGTAGGTTTCACAAAAATATTTTTTTAATCGTGCCAACGTTTCGATCTTTATTGAGATCATCTTCAGGGCTCAAAGTGTTTGTCTTCTGTGTAATTGTGCCATTCTTGCGTGTCGTGTTGAGAGGGCC